CACATCAGATTCTGGCCCCAGGCCCGCTTCAACAGTCCCTGCAAAATCCGGCAGGAAAAACCATTGGCAAGCATACTTGAACTGTGTTTTTCGGGCGTCGTAGTAGGGGACGATAAAATGGGGGGGGGGGGCGGGAAGGAGATGCACTTCTCGTGCCCTAGCCCCCCTCTTGGACTCTAAAACGCCCCTTTAGGGGACCTAGAGAGCCCCTTTTCTGTAGCACTCGCTGCCCCCCACTATCGGCCCCCATTGCGCGACGCCCCAGTTTTTCACCACATCCAAAGTGGGTTGTTTGTTTTCTCTGCCCCCCCGCGCAGGATCTCATTCTCTCCTCTTCCTCGTTATCATCATCGTCATCATCATTCATACACTCACACACTCACACAATCATCATGATTATGATCATGAACATCATCAGCATCATCATCCTCAGGCCTGCATATGGACGGGGTATCAGGCGGGAGCCTCGTCTGGGAGTGACCTGCGAGGAAATCTTAGGCGGGAGCCTCCTCCCTATGAGCCCACAGCTCATGCTTTCAATCCGAGCGGGTCATCCTCAAACCTGTAACTGTCGTCACTTTTGTGCCCCACAGGCCTGAGTATGAAGGGATTACCAGGCGAGAGCCTCGTCTGTGAGTGCATAGCGAGGAAGTCTCAGGCGGGAGCCTCGTCTGGGAGTGAACTGCGAGGACGTCTCAGGCGGGAGCCTCCTCCCGATGGGCCCACAGCTCATGTTTTTGAGACTTCCTCGCAATCCACTCTCAGACGAGGCCCCCGCCTGAGACTTCCTCGAATTCACTCACGGACGAGGCTCTCGCATGATACTCCCTCCATATTCAGGCCTGGTGAGCCAAACGTGATGACAGTCACAGGTTTGAGGATGACCCGCTCGGATCAAAGACATGAGCTGCGGGCCCCATAAGGAGGAGGCTCGCGGGGAAGTCCCAGGCGGGAGCTCACTCCCTCAGGCCGCACAGGACCCAAAGGTTTCACAGGTACTATTGGTCTCACAGGTTCCACCGGTCGCACAGGTCACATAGACCCCACAGGCCCAACGCAGGCTCAGCAGGTCGCACAGGTCCAATGGTGTTTTCGCCTCGCGCACACAAGTCCTACATGTCGCAGGCCCCGCAAGTCTCAAAAATACCAAGGGGCCCACAGGTCTCACAGGTCCCACTGGGCCCAGAGGTCCCACAGGTCCCACAGGTCCTGCAGGCCCCGCAGGTCCCATAGGCCCCGCAGGTTGCAGGTTCCACGGTCCCCATATGTCTCACAGGTCCAACAGGCTCCACAAGTTCAGGAGGTTCCACTGGTCCCCCATGTCCCACGGGCCCAGCAGGTCCCACAGGTCCCACACGGCCCGCAAGTCCCACAAGCCTCACAGGTCCCGCGGGGCTCGAAACTCCTACAGGTCCCACGGGCCCCACAGGTCCAAGAAGCCCCATAGGTCGCACAGCTCCCACGAGTCCCACAGGTCCAAGAGGTCGTATTCCGGTATCCTGGCATCCTGCCATTATCACCATCATTAATCCTCGACGATGAAGATTCTCATTCGCACTAAAGAGATTATGATGTGGGGTCCTTCCGTCGGAATAATTTTCGGAATTGCGAATTTGCCAGCTGGTGAATAGGGGTCCTGGAAGGGCCCCTTTTCTGTAGCCCTCGCTGCCCCCCCATTGATCGCCCCCCCACTCCCCCCATTACGCGACGCCCAAGTTTTTGGGGAATTGCGAAGTTGCCTGCTGGCGAAACCCTTAGCTCAAACATGTTGACGTGTCACGTTTGCTCCTGCCGCCGGTCGCACGCAAGAGTGACCTTGGGCAAGAGCGGCCTTTGGTGCGTGGCTAGGGGGGCGGGGGGCCAAACCCCAGCGTGCAGGCCGCTGCTACTGCATCGCATTCAGCGATCGGGGGTACTAACAGTCCCTGAGATCCGACGTTGCACAACAAAATGCAGCATCGCAAAGAGCCCTAGACCCCATCCTTCTGCCTCATTTGTCGAGCCGGATCGATCTCGGAGGGTCCCTGGGGCCCGAAACTGGGCGAAAACGCCGGTTGCGAAGAAACTGCAACGCCAGACCCCCGACGTCATGAATTTTTCATTACTTCGACCCTCAGAGGTCTCGCAACCTTCCCCAAGACCGATTTCTCATCCTGAGTCGTTGTTTGACGGTCCCGAGGCCCGGTGAGGGCCCCCGGAGGCCGAAAATTAGGAAAAACCTCCCGTCATGATTTTTTCATTACCCGAGGGGGTCTGGGACGCCAGGATCTCAGGGGATCAGGAGTCCCCACAGTGGGCCCGCACCGAAAGTTCCCTCCGGCGAAGGGCCACTCAAGACGTGCAGGGCAGGCGGAGGAAGAGGAAGAGGAGGGGGAGGAGGAGGGGGAGGAGGGAGGAGGGGGAGGAGGAGGAGGGGGGAAGCAGGAGGAGGATGAGGACAGGAGGAGGAGGAGGAGGAGGAGAGGAGGAGGAGGACGAGGAGAGGAGGGACGACGAGGAAAGGAGACGAGGACGAGGAGCACGAGGACGAGGACGGCGAGAAGGGACTGGCAAGGGGGGGGAGGAGGAGGAGGAGGAGGAGGAGGAGGAGGAGGAGGGAGGAGGAGGAGGAGGAGGAGGAGGAGGAGGAGAGGAGGAGGAGGGAGGAGGAGGGGGAGGAGGGGAGGAGGGAGGAGCAGGAGGAGGAGGAGGAGGAGAGGAGGAGAGGAGGAGGAGGAAGAGGAGGAGGAGGAGGAGGTGCAGCCCATGCCGGCCTTCCGCCGACGGACCCGCTGCCGATCCCGCCTCAGCCGACTCCCGCCTTCGGGCGAGGCTGCGCCTTCGGGCGAGGCCCTCTCAAACGCCATGCGGTCGGACCAGGGACAGAAGGGCATCCGTCACAGAGGTCTCTTCCTCCTCCTCCTCCTCGTCCTCCTCCTCCTCCTCCTCCTCCCCCTCCTCTTCCTCCTCCTCCTCCTCCTCCTCCTTCCTCCTCCTCCCCTCCTCCTCCTCCTCCTCCCCCTCCTCCTCCTCCCCCTCCTCCTCCCCCTCCTCCTCCTCCTGCTCCTCCTCCTCCTCCTTGATGGGGTCTCCGAGTAGATGGGGTCGGGGGATCGCGCCGCATCGCCGATGCATCGCCGATCCATGGCCGACGTCGGCGACGCATCGGCGACGTCGGCGTGGAGAAAATCGGGCTCCGCATCGAGCCGCATCGCCGATGCATCGGGCATGCGGCGCGATCCTCCGACCCCACCTACTCAGACCTCATCTAGGAGGCCTGGTCTCCAAGAACATGGGACCCCCCGCCGGCCAAAGCATCCCGAACCACAAGATCACTCCAGGGTACCCATTCCCCAGGATGCGCAAGAACAGCCACCAGACACGACGAAGATTAGGACACCCTCCCCGAACCGACCTCGATCTCATATCTCGATCCGACCGTCAATACGGCAGGCTCGTGTCGTGCCGACCCCAGCGTTGGTTTTTGACACCGCAGGGATCGTTCAACCTTGAACGATCGGCCGCTGCCGCAACGTCCGATCGTTCAACATCGATCGATTCTGGGTCGCCGGCGGCGTTCAACCTTGAACGCCCGCGCTGGGGTCGCCGCTGGTCGACACGACGCAAACCTACCGTAACCCAAATCGGCTTGGAATCGACCCCCCGTGGGACCCGTCATGGAAGGCGCCCTGGCCAGAAACTCTATATGCGAATCCCAGCCGCGTCGACGAGAAGCCTCCCCGAAGCCATCAAAAACGTCCCCAAGCCGTCGACCCTCTCGAGGTGCCATCCTCGCACCTCGAGCGGACCCTCGACGAGCAGGCAGGCGACGCAGACGTCCTGCGATGTCCTCTGTTAGGGGCCGTCGACCCTCGAGGTGCGATCCTCGCACTTCGAGTGGACCCTCGACGAGTAGGTGGGCGACGCAGACGTCCTGCGATGTCCTTTGGTTAGGGGGCGCGCAAACATGGACTAGCGATCGCGATCCATGGATCTGGCGTGCGGCCACCTCCCCAAAAATGCGGCCGGTGCCGCCCCGCTCGGCGGCGGAAGTCCGCGGTTTCCCCTGGAAACGGGACCCGTCGCTGATCCACGCCCCCTTAATCCATGTTTGCGATCGCCTGAGCTGTGAAGGGCAAGGATAGGGGGGACCAGCTCAGGAGAGGGAAACGTCGAACTGAAATCGGCGATACATCGCTAGATCGGCGATGGGCCCCCGATAGCAAATCCGCACGTCCATGGGCCGAGTGGGCCATCGGGCACCTGTCAGCGACAATGGGCGATTGGGGTTCGATCCTCCCACTTAGCTTTTAGCTTATCCCTAACCTGATCTTGCCCCTATGGTTTTCGGATAATAGCTCCGCCCTCCAACGGCCAGTCGGGACGATGCGGGCACCCCTGAAACGCTCTCGGCGTTCAGCAGCTGTCGGAAAGCATCCGAGGCTAGAGCACCCCCGACGAAAACGTCAGAAGAAAAACAAGCCCCACTGACTCCCCACACCCCTCGACCTGCACCCTCCACGCCTCCTGCGCGGCAAGTGCCGCGCTGCCGCGGCCGCCGCCGTGGCCGCAGCGCAGCGGCCACCGTCCCAGACATGCGACGCCCTGCTTTTTGTCGATGCGGGTCCCCTGGAAGTCCCAACCGTTTCCCCGGGACCGGTTTTTCGTCCTCATTTGTTCCCAACCGTCCTGTGGTGTTGAGTCCATAGGGAGCTTCGTGGCCCCATAGGGAGCTTCACCGAAGAAGATACTCACTGCGGTACCCACAACTGCACATGGTTGGGTCCTTCGCCAGGATAATTTTCCAACAACGCCGAGGCCCGGCGAGGGCCCCCCGAGGCCGAAAATGGCGCCACGGTTTTTTCACGACGCGATCATGTCTGGGGTCGAGGCCGCATCGCGGTCGCCCCCTTTGCGTGGCAGGTGAGGCGCGGGAGGTGCAGCTCGAGGGACGGTGTGGCCACCGCAACGTCTGGGGGCCGCGGCGGCCATGTCGGCGCCCGCCCGCTGCCCCCGGCCGCCTCGAGCGGCGAGAGCCTCTTGGCCTGCTTCTCTGCCTCCTGGCGAGCGAGGGAGGGCAGGGAATCCGATGGATTTCCAGAGGAATCCGATGGACGTCCGAAGGACTCCTATAGATGTCCTGAGGCATCCTGTAGATGTCCTAAGAAAGCCTGGGGATTTCCTGAAGAGTCCGGTGGACTTCCTGAGGATCCTTATGGATTGTCTGAGGATTCCTGTGGCTTTCCTGAGGAATCCGATGGATCTTCATAGGATCCATAGTGCGCCGAGAAGCAAGAGCTGGACGCACTCTCGGACAGTTTGGATCCGCGCCTCTGGCACACGCACATACTGACCTAAGGAGCGATATATCAGGAACGGATCCCCTTTTTGCTCCAGGAGCGCCAAGGGGGGCTCGCCACCAAAAACGGGGCGGAACGCAGGCAAACCCAAGGAACGGCCGAACCCTTTCCGAAAAGTAAATTTAGGTCGGGCGTGTCCTCCTGCAGGGGGATTTGGACGAAAAATTAAGACAATACCCCGAAAATGCCCCAACATGGTCAACATGAGATCGAAAAATCGTCCCCAAACTATGTTTTGACTAGTTTTGAATACTCCTCCCGTAGAGGGACACGCCCGACTTACAAATTCGCCGGCCCAACGGGCCAGAGGCGTGCTAAGATCTCCGGTAACTTGTTAACAATATTTCTAGTTCGCGCGCGCGGAGCGGCCCCTGGGGGCCCCCGGACGAAAAGTACCCCGGCAAGGTCCCGAGAGAAGCCCGGGAGAAGCCACCAGACCACTCCAGGGGAGGGTATTTTTCGACACCCCTCACGAGGATCGTGGCCTCCGAGGGGGGAGCCGCAATCGACTACCCCCAAGAGCCCCCCAAGAGGCCCTGGGGGCCTCCAAAACGCCGCCAAGGAGCCCCAAGAGACTCCCAAGAGGTCCCCAAGAGGCCCCCAAGAGGCCCTAAAGAGGGCTCCAGGGCCGGCGGCATGAGCGAAGCGATTAAATAAATGGACCTGATTCAGCGCCCCGACCGTCAAATTTTGGATCTGCGCCATGGCCCCCCCGAGCGGCGCCGGCGCGCCCCGCGCGCCAGGGAGGGGGGCGCAGCCCGTGTCCAAGAAGCGCGCGCGGCGCGCCGAGGCAGGACGTGTCTGCAGTCTGGCTTGGCCCTCGCGGAGAAGCAGGGATTATCGGGTCGGGCGAAAGGGGGGGATAGCAAAGGGGGGGGTTGAGAATCAGCTCACGTAGCTGATTTTCCCGGCGCCTCCCGGCGCCAGGAGGCGCCCATGTATCGAGGAATGGGTCTGGCGGCGGGGCCGAAACCAGCTGCATGTAGCTGGTTTCGTAACCCCCCCTTTCCCAAACCCCCCCTTTCGCCCGGCCCGAGATTATACGACACAGTCAAAAACCCTAATGAGGACGCGCGGTAAGGACGCAAGACCCTTGGAAGCCGAAGTTGGGATTCTTGGGGCGGCGGACGACGAAAGCCCCAAGGACGCAAAAGCAAGGAAGAGCAAGGACGCAAGGGTACCCTGAGCAAAGTCGCGCGTCCTTATTCGGGCTTTTGACTGTAAGCCCTGCCGCCGGCGGGGATGCCCGCCCCTCGGGCGGCCGGAAAGTCTGCACCCCTACGCGTCGTTGGTTTCTCGCCGTGCTCCTTTCGGATTGGCGCTCGCTTCTGCTTGCTCCTGGCCCCCCAGTGGCCAGGGAGAGGCCCAGGATAGAGGAATTAAGCCTTAGAAGTGACCAGTGTGTACGGTGCCGCGCAGGGGTGTAAGCTTTCCAGCCGCCCGAGGGGCAGGCGCCACGGCGGAGACTGTTCTCTCACGCCGCCCTTCGCCCGCGAAGGGAGGGAGGGCAGGAGGGAGAGAGCAGGGCCCAAGTCTCTCACGCCCCTACAGGCTTGGGCCACAAGGCGGCCTGCCTGATCGTGAAGAGCTGGCGGGTGTCAAATCTTCGGGGGTCAGTGTCTCGTTGCCTTACGAGGGGGGGGTCCTCGTGGGCACCCCCGTCCTGTTCCCTTACGGGGGCCTCGAGTTCCCCCGCCTTGTTCGTTGCCTCCCTCCTCGGTCTTGTTCTTAATTAGCCTCCCTCCTCGTGTTCCCCAGTCTTGTTCCTCGGGTTCCCGTACTGTTCCTAGTTAGGGTTCCTCGGCTTCCACGGTCTGGTTCCATCCTCGGCTTTCCCAATCTTGTTCCTCGGGTTCCCCAGCACTGCAAAGCAATTCGAGTCTCTACGAAGCAATGCCACGCAATGCCAGGCAGTGCCAATCAACGCCCAGCAACGCCAAGCGACGCCAAGCAACGCAAAGCAATGTCAAGTAATGCCAAACAATGCGCCCATGCAATAAGACACTTTCCCCTAAGCGGAGTCGCACCAAGATTGAAGGGGCCCACAAACACACAAACAAATACACACAAATAACAGGAATCCCCATATTTTTCCATATTTTCTGGGTTTCTGTCTTCCCCACCACTTCCCATATGTTCCAATATTTTCCTGGGAGTCGACGATTCATTGTGTCTGTGTGTTTCTTCCCCTCCTGAAAGATCATGGAAGCTGGCCTTCTTCTCGATTTCGGCCCTCAGGGGTCGCTTCCGGGCGCCAGGCCTTGCAAACATTGATCCGGGACGGAAAGCTACCCGGGGGGAAGCGGTCGAGACCCCATGGGCACTCCATTTGCGGCGGCGGCTGTGCGAGATGTCTGCGGCCGCGGGGCCCTCTGCGCCAGCGGCTCTGCACAGGAAGCGAGATCAGGATGCACAGGGCAAAACTGAAGACGCCGATGATCCTGTTACGGCCAAGCGGGCCATGATGGCCACAGGTGGTCCAGCCCCTCCTCTTCTTCCTGATGGTCTCAGCCTCGCGCTGAGGCCCTCCCACACCTAGCAGGTGCAGACTGCCAAAGCGCAGACCTCGGGGGAAGCCTTGCTGCAGAGCCCGCTGTGGCACCTGCTCCACATCTGGCCCGCTCTCGTTCAGCCCCGCATCCCGGATTGTACCCCCTCTGATCAGCACGCCGCCGCTCCGCCTTCCTTGGCGGGCCCTCGGCGGCGAGCTGAGACACCAGACGAGGCGAGCTCCTGCCACACTCTGGGGAGACCCCCTGCAGCGTCATCTGGCGGATTTCGGAAACCCTGTACCCAAAAACGCTTTCATCTCTTGGGGGCGCATTTGTTACTTCCGCCGCCTTCCGCCGAGCTTCCGCCAGCTTCCGCCGGCGGAGGCGGCCTCGTTTCACTTCCGCCGACCCTCCGCCGCCTTCCGCGGCGGAAGAGATGACAACTATTTATATCCACGAAGAAGGCAAGGCCTTTTCTGGAGCGCCTCATCTGCTTCAGGCCCAGATCATTCGCAGCCTCGGGCGAATCCGAGGAGCGTTTCGGCAAGGAAAGCTGCCCTCTGGCCGTGGTGAAGGCGAAGGCGGTTCTAGAATCAGCCGGCCTGAGCCTTCCTGCTGCCAATGTGGAGGAGGGAGGGGGAGGAGGGAGTCGGGGGGAGGAGGAGGGAGGAGGAGGAGGGAGGAGGAAGGAGGAGGAGGAGGGAGGAGGAGGAGGGAGGAGGAGGAGGGAGGAGGAAATTGCCGACTTCTTGCTGCCAGTGCCTGACGTATTGACAGATCCAGTTTGGTGGCTGCACACGTCGACCCGATTCTGCACCGTGCCTACTTGTTGTGCGTACAGGTCCCTGAGGCAGTGCATCTTCTGAGGCGTGCTGTTCTTTCCTCGGCAGCTTCGTATTCCGAATGCGATCTCCTCTTGGGCATCGTTTGGCTGCAACAGGCCTCGCCTGCTTGTTTTCCCGAGGTCAGGCAGCCCCAGACTATATCCACACACGCGTTTCGCCGCCCAGGGTCCCTCCAGGCCAGACTGCCCACGGCGCAACATCGAACGCGCATCGTCGACGACGGGACCGGAGTCAGAGCGAAGAGATACAGTATAAAGCTAGGTGCGCTCACATCATATCTGACGTCCTACCCCTCCCTCTCATCCCTTACTATTGCGTAGAGCCCCTCTCTATTCGCATAGTCGGATGTCGAAGAGGACAGCGATCACATAGCCTGGCATGGCATTGCGTAGTCAAGCATTGCATAGTATAGCATTGCAGCGCAAGGCATGGCATCGCATAGCGGTACATTTCATAGCATTGCATGGCACCCCATTGCATGGAATGGCGCTGCGAAGCCCAGCGTGGCATATCACAGCATTGAGGAGCAAGGAATGGAATAGCGGAACAGCGATACATGACATGGCATTGAATTGAATTCGATGGCTATGGCTGCGTGGATGGTGCAGCCAGAAAACCATGCTGGAGGACCAAGAAGTTAGAGATGAGGCTGGCTCTGCAGCGGGGCCACCATTCGGAAGGACCGAACACGCGGAACTGAGGCCAGCGCTGCAGCGAGAGCACCACTCAGAAGGACCGAACACGCAGAAACGGCACCAACGCTACAGCGGTAACACCCTTCGGAAGGACCGAAAGCGCGGGAATGAGACCAACGCTACAGCATCATTCGGAAGCACAGAGAACGCTAAATGCGGCCAGCGCGGCAGCGGGATCATCAGGTTGAAGGGCCGGAAGCGACCAGATTAGAAACAAACACTTGAAAAAGACACATGTTCGAAATCTGGTGCTTGAAAAGACAATACGCGGAGAGGGCGGGACATCTTCCAGACAGAGTCAGGGGAGAGAGGAGAGTAGTACTCAAAAAGTGTAAGTATGCAAAAGGGGGTCAAACAAAAAACGCACCCACCCACCCGGCGAGTGGACGATGGCGAGAGGATGGACCCAGCCTGACCCACACTGCCGTGGCCCGACTTCGAGCAGGCCTGCACCACGCTTCCTCCCCAAAAACTCAGACGTCGTGATGCTTTCACAGCGTGCATGGACCCCTGGAGATCTGGACCACTTCCCGGGGACCAGCTTGTCACGCTGGGTCGTTTTATTCACAGTCCCGAGGCCTGGCGAGGGCCACATGTCGAACAATTGTCCAAAACCGCCCGTCGTGATTTCCTCCCACCACGAGAGGAGGCGGGGGTCCTTCTCCTCGTCCTCGCTGCTGCAGTCTTCGAGGAGGGGGGCGCGCCGCAGTGCGCGCATTCCCAGCCTGTGTGTCTGATGCAGACAGCACCCGTCGTCGTCGGCCTGCAGCGGCGGAGGTCTGGCGGGGCAGAGGCCAAGGCCTCGTCGAGGAGCTTCGGCTTCGAGCCCAAAGCGCGGAGGTTGGGCGTGGCTTAATGGAGGGATCACAAATGGGGGGGTCAAAAAGGTCTCCTTTCGTGCCCCTTTCGGGCCCCTCCAGAGCCCCAGGGGGCTCGTTTAGGTACCATTTGGGTACCTTTTCGGACCACACCCGCCGCCCCCCCCATTTACGATCCCCCCATTACGCAGCGCCCAAGGAGGGGCCGAAGCCACCTTTCCACCCCGGCATCCTCTCGTATAGGACAGGTCACCGCGCCGCTGTTCTTCCCGGCTTCGGCCTCTCTGTGGGCCCTCGCCGGGCCCCGCGACGGCGAAGCCACGACTCGCTGGGCCCAGCCCTCTCGAGGACCACACGATCCGAAGAGGTCACGCCTCGAGGAGGCCTGGCAGCGCGGCGGCTCCTGGAGGAGCCCTGCGCGCCGCAGGGGGCCCCGCGGGTGCTGCTCGCGGTTGGCCGGGCCGAGGCTCATGGCATCCCGATGGCAGGCGCCCTCCTTGAAGCGACTCGCGGGCTCGACCCGCCTCGGACGGCGACAGGCGCTGCGCACGCCATTCCCGCGGCCAGGGGCGCGGTGTGAGGGGCGGCAGGCGGCCTGGTCGCGGCAGTGCGCCCGCACGGCGCGAAGGGCAGCCTTCGAAGAGCTGGCCGGCACGGGCGGCGAAGCGGTGCACGCGGACGCCGCCTTCGCCGCCGCGGGGCAGCGCGTGAGACCAGTGCAGCTGGCGGGGGTTAGCTGGCGCGGCGGCGCTGCCATCTTTCCAGAAGGCGAGCACCTGCGTGCCTGGGATGTGTGCCCTCCGCACTTGGGGCGCAGCGAACCGAACTGAACTGGCGCCAAAGGCATGCGCGAGCGGAATCCGAAGGCGCGAACGGAATTGGAAACTCTCTCCCGCGTCTGCAGCCGCGCAGTGGAATCCCGACATGCTGGATGTGACTAACACACGTCACCAGGCCTGCGTGCTGACTAGACTGCTGCACAGAGACTGACCTGGCGCGGACTGACGCCACTGACTCAATATGTTGAATTTGTTTATCAACACATTGTCGAATGCAACCGTGCTGGCGCGCGCGCTGGATGGAACTGAGCAAACTTCTTGCAATGGTGACAATCACATTTGCGCTCGGTGATGCTCTAAATCGGTTCCGATTCCCTCGTTCTGGCCGCCTCCCCAGGCGAACGAAATAGAAGCAGGCGACACACGTGGCCACCTGAACTCTCAAACGTGCGAGTGCTGAACGCGCTGGCCTCGAAGTGCCAATCGACGAACTGTGCACGATCCCAGCAGGGGACTGGAAGCAGGCAAGACATTTCTGCATTGCGCGGCGCCGACGGTGCGGCATACTGGCCGTGGGTCATACAACAGACGGCTTTGACTGACCGGGAGGAGGAAGAGGAGGAGGAGGAGGAGGAGGAGGAGGAAAAGGAAAGGAGGAGGAGGAGGAGGAGGAGGGAGGAGGAGCGGCTAAGAAGGAGGAGAGGAGGAAAGAAGAAGAGGAGGAAGGAGGAGGAGAGGAGGGGGAGGAGGAGGAGGAGGGAGGAGGAGGAGGAGGAGGAGGCGGAAGGAGGAGGAGGAGGAGGGAGAGGAGGAGGAGGAGGAGGAGGAGGAGGAGTCCTCCGGCGTATCCCGTCAGCAGTCGCTTCCCCAGGGAAGCGGCAGCCGCCCGGCAGCTGCGGGCGTGACTCGCCTTCGAGGGCGACCGAGCCGAACCTGCGCACCCCACGTCCATCGGCTCTCGGGGGGCCCCGGTGGGCGCGCACCAAAAGTCACCCCGGCAAAGGGTCGCTCTCACGTGCAGTCGAATCCATCCAGGCCGCTGTGCGACCCTGCCGGCCTGGCCACCGTGGCTATCGGCCTGTGCAGGAGGGGCCAATGTGACGCAATGCCTGGCCGGGGATGCGAGAATGCTCGGCCCGGTGGACTGAGCGTCGGTGCGCGTGCCGTCCCGAATCCCGTCCCTCGTCCCTCCCCCTCTCCACCCCGCCATGCCTTCCCTTTCCCGCCCCCCCCCCCCCTCCGCCAAGGCCCCATGCATCGCCGATGCATCGGCGATGCGACGCGACCCTCCGACCCCATCTACTCCGACCCCATCTCGGAGGCCCAGACTAGTCTTGGAGGCCTGGGAATGGGCACCAACACCAACACAGGGGGTTGCCTCTACAGGGGGAAGATGATCCTAGATTTCGGTGTTGGTGGTAATATGTCGGCCACCTTGGAAGCCAGAATATGACCACCATCACCGAGATCGGGATCTTCTTCCCTCGGTGGAGGCACACCGCCGATGTTGGTGCTGGTGTCAGCCTCTAGGCCTGCGGTAGTGCTCTGCGTCGCAGCAGTTCACCTCGGCCGCCGCCGCCGCCGCCGCCGCCGTCGTCGTCGTCGTCGTCGTCGTCGTCGTCGTCGTCGTCGTCGTCGTCGTCGTCGTCGTCGTCGTCGTCGTCCTCGTCGTCCTCGTCGTCGTCGTCGTCGTCGTCGTCGTCGTCGTCGTCGTCGTCGTCGTCCTCGTCCTCGTCCTCGTCCTCGCCGTCGTCGCCGCTCCCAGCTCGGCCGCTGCTGCCGCGGACCCCGCGCTCCGGCCCTGGACCCCCTTGGACCGGGGACACGTGGAGGCCGACGACACGCGGGGCCCTCCCCAGACCCCCGACGTCATGATTTTTTCATGACGCGACCCCCAGAGGTCCCGACCCCTTCCCTTGGACCGGCTTTGCATCCTGAGTCGTTTTTTGACGCTCCCGAAGCCCGGTGAGGGCCCCCGGAGGCCGAAAATGGCGAAAAACCTCCCGTCGTGATTTTTTCACGACGCGAGGAGGTCTGGGTCCCCGCCCTCTGCCGCACCGGAGCGCTGCCCTGACCGGCACGCTTTGGGGCGCATCCGGCCGCTGCGGCCCCCCGGACACGCGACGTCCCGTTTCGGCCGATGCGGGGCCGGAAGCCCCGACCCTTCAGTGTCACCCCCGGGACCCGTTCCTCGTCCCGGGTCCTTGCGTGACGGCCCCGAGGCCCGAGGGCTCTCTCCTCGGGGCCGAACGCGGCCAAGAACCTCCCGCCCCCCAAAGATCCGATGTCGTGGTTTTTTCAATGCGCGGTCCCCGGAAGCCTCGATCCATTCCCCAGCACCGGTTTTTCATCCTGAGTCGTCTCTTGACGGCCCCGAGGCCCGGCGAGGGCCCCTGGGGGCCGAAATCTGCGAAAAACCTCCGCCCTGATTTTTTCAAGACGTTGGATCTCCGGGCCTGGTTCTTGTGCGCCGCCATCGCGTCCCCAGACCCCCGACGTCGTGATTTTTTTCACAACGTCGACCCCCGGAGGTCTGCAGAATTCTGCAGGACCGGTTTTTCGTCCTGAGTCGTTTTTTGACGGTCCTGAGGCCCGGTAAGGGTCCCCGGAGGCCGAAAAGAATGAAAAACCTCCCGTCGTGTTTTTTTTCGCAGCGCGAGGGGGTCTGGGCCTGGGGCGACGGGCGGCCCCCCGGGCGCGCTCGCGCCCCGGCCGCAGAGCGCACGGGGGCTGCCGGGCAGGGTCGGGGCGCCCGCGCGGCTCCTTTAGGGCCCTGGCCTCGGCTGCGGCCGCCTCCCGCGGGCGGGGAGGCGGGGGCGAGGGAAGGGCCCCGGCGGCGGGAGGGGGAGAAGAGAGGAGGAGGAGGAGGAGGAGGAGGAGGAGGAGGAGGAGGAGGAGGAGGAGGAGGCGGCGGAGGAGGAGGAGGAGGCGGAGGAGGAGGAGGAGGAGGAGGAGGAGGCGGAGGAGGAGGAGGAGGCGGAGGAGGAGGAGGAGGGGGAGGAGGAGGAGGATGAGGGAGGGACAGTAGATGGGCAGTAGATGGGCAGTAGATTCGATGCGGCCGCCTCCCGGGCGGGGAGGCGGGGGCGAGGGAAGGGCCCTGGCGGCGGGAGGGAGAGAAGGGAGGGACAGCAGATGCCCAGAGAACCAACGCATTGCAAAAATCACATCACGGCGGAGGGTTTTCGCTGATTTCGGCCCCTAGGGGCCCTCGCCGGGCCTCGGGGCCATCAACAAAGCGGCCCAGACGCGAGGGCGGCGCACAAGAACCAGGCCCAGAGATCCAACGTCTTGAAAAAATCAGGGCGGAGGTTTTTCTCAGATTTCGGCCCCTAGGGGCCCTCGCCGGGCCTCGGGGCCGTCAAGAAACGGCTCAAGATGAAGAACCGGTCCTGGGGAATGGATTGAGGCTTCCTGGGACCGCGCATTGAACAAATCACGACGTCGGATTTCTGGGTGGACAATAGATTCGAACCCTTACACATTCGAGGGAGATTCTAAATCACCCCCGCGCCCCCGACATCAATGCGGATCTCAGGAAAGGCGGTGCTCTGGGGTTCGAATACTTCTGTCCACTCACGCCCCCGCCGCCGCCACGCCATCAATATTGATTTCGGGGGGTCTGGGAGGCATCTTGGGCCATAGGGTTCGAATATAATGTCCATGTACGGGAGAATGGGGTGGGGAGATGGAAGAGGAGTGGGAGTAGGGACCAGTGGCGCAGCCAGTGACGATCAACAGCATCACCCTCGGCCCCTCTGGGCCATCTCGGCCTTGCTGGGAACCTTGGGTGTCAAACTAGACCGAATTCGGACAAGGTACTCACGACCTGTCGGGGTCAAACGATGGGCGCAAGGCTTGCCTAACGAGCGCAGCTGCTTGTCGGCCACCACACCACGGAGGCGAAGGAGGCCGAGCGAAACTCGCTGGACCACCTCTCGGGGCAAGACTTGTGAGGATGTCTCAAACGAAAGGCGCAGGACCACCTCGCGCGAGGTAGCTCGGAGCTCGGAGTTGCGAGAATGTTTCAAGCGAAACTCACTGGAGCACCTCTCACGCGGCACCTCGGAGCCCAGAGTTACGAAAATGTCTCAGGCGAAACGCGTCAGACCACCTCGCGCGCGGCATCTCGGAGCTCAGAATTGTGAGGATGTCTCAGGCGAAACGTGCTGTAGCACCTCGAGCCCAGAGTTGTGAGGATGTCTCAGGCGAAACGCGCCGGACCACCTCGCGCGCGGCAGCTCGGAGCTCAGAGTTACGATGATGTCTCAAGCGGAACGGTCTGGGCGACCTCGCGCACGACATCTCGGAGCCCAGAGTTGCGAGGACGTCTCAAGCGAAACGCTCTGGACCACCTCGCGCGCGGCAGCTCGGAGCGCACAGACTTGCAAGGATGTTTCAAGCGAAACGCGCAGGAACACCTCTCGCGCGGCATCTCGGAGACCAGGGTTACGAGGACGTCAAAGGTGACACGCGCCAGAGCACCCCGCGCGCGCGGCGTCTCAGAGCTCATGGTTGTCAGGATGTCTCAGGCGACACGCGCTGGACCCGCGCGCGTCAGCTGGAAGCGCAAAAGTGTGAGGACGTCTCAGGCGCGGAACGATCCGGACCACATCGCGCGCGGCATCTCGAGGCCCAGAGTTGCGAGGATGGCTCAAGCGAAACGCGCCAGACCGCCTCGCACGCGACATCTCGGAGCTCAGAGTTGCGAGGACTTCTTAGCCGAAACGGGCCGACCACCTCGCGCGCGGCATCTAGGAGCCCAGAGTTGCGAAGATGGCTCAAGCGAAACGCGCCAGACCGCCTCGCGCGCGACATCTCGAAGCTCAGAGTTGAGAGGATGTCTTAGCCGAAACGGGCCGGCCACCTCGCGCGCGGCATCTAGGAGCTCAGAGCTGCGAGGATGTCTCAAGCGAAACACGCCAGACCACCTCGCCTGCAGCATCGCGGAGCTCAGAATTGCGAGGATGTCTCAGGCGAAACGCGCAGACCACCTCGCGCGCGGCGTCTAATAGCTCAGAGCTGCGAGGATGTCTCAAGCGAAACGCGCCAGACCACCTCGCCTGCAGCATCTCGGAGCTCAGAATTGCGAGGATGCCTCGGGCGAAACGCGCCAGACCACCTCTCGCGCAGCCTCCCCGAGCTGAGCATTGCAAGGATGTCTCAGGCGAGACGGGCTGGACCACCTCGCCAGCGACATCTCGGAGCTCAGATCCGCGAGGATGTCTCAGGCGAAACGTGCTGGACCATCTCGCGCGCGGCATCCTGGAGCCCATCATTGCGAAGCGCCCAATCCCGGCCAACTCAAAACAGAGACTGGTGAGGAAGCCTCAGGCGAAACGGCCCGGAGCACCCAATCTTTGGAGAGTGCCTCTGGGCGGGCGCTTCTCGACCGGAAACAGTACAGTAGTGATCACAACAGCACCCCGCTCAGCAAGCCGCTTGGGGAACAAACTCCCTTTCGCAGAACAACTCCCTGGCGCACCACCAGACGTGTCCGTCGACTGGCCTGGACGATCTGCTCGAGGCTTCCTCGCGATTTGCTTCCCTGCGGCTTCGCATGTCAGTTCATAGCACGGGTGGGCCTCCATCCTCCGTCCTCCTGCTCTTCCTTCTCCTATTCCTCCTCCTGCTCCAGTCGCGCTCGGACCTGGCCACGCACCCTTCCGAGGGGGCAACCCACCCCCGGGCCGCCGCCGAGCCGCGAGATCGGCTTCCGGGCACCCTCCGCGCACGACCCTGGCTCCGCGTCTCGAGCGGAACTCGGGCACCTCGCGATCGGAGGACATATCCACATCCACACCTCGGGGATCTTCTAACCCGGGTCAATCCAGACCCCGGTCAGCAGGAAACCAAAAAACTGCAATGCACGAAGGAAAAATTGCAACGCAGGTCTTCGCAAACCCGGGTCAGCCAATAGGCGCGGCCGCCTCGCGGCCACGAGCGGCTCGCTAAGCCGGGTCAGCCAGAGGGGGTCTCCGCAGGATCCTGCAGGATGTGGCGCCCTGGCTGACCCCCGTCTGCATTGACCCCCGTCTCTTGGCTCCCGACACACCCCTCGCGGTCTGGACTCCCGGGCGCGACCCCGTCGATGCGCGGTCCCATGGGTACACCCCTTTTGTTTACACGGCCAGCTAGAACCCCTCGGAGCAGCAGGGCTAGGAGCGTGCGCCCGCGAGAGCTCGCTGCACCAAGTTAATAGGAGGAGGAGGAGGAGGAGGAGGAGGAGGAGGAGGAGGAGGAGGAGGAGGAGGAGGAGGAGGAGGAGGAGGAGGAGGAGGAGTAGGAGAAGGAGGAGGGCATGGATACACTCCGCGCGGGGCGTACGCGAAAAAGCCCCTCGTCTCCATGGGTTCGCGGTCCGGGGGCTCAGCCCGCGAGGCCGTGGATATGGATCTGTTTCCAACCTCATGTGGGTCCAAGAACTGAAGACGACCTTTGGGACAAGAATCGGGTGTTGCTAGAAGTGCCCCTGGCCCAAGGTGTCCCCAGCTTTTCGCTCCACTTTGGAGCCCCTGGGGCCCTCTGGGCCTCGTGAGGGGCGCCCTGGAGGCCATCTGGGCCTTCCCGAGGATCCTGGGGGCACCTTGGGCCAGGGGTACTTTTATGTCGGGCGTGTCCCCCTACAGGGGGATCTTCGACGAAAAAAAATAAATACCCCCCAAAATACTCCCAAAAGGTCAAAAAAAAATCCAAAAATAGTCCCCAGGCTATGTTTGGATTATTTTTTGACTATGTTTGGAATATGTTTTATTTTTCGCCGAAAATCCCCCTGTAGGGGGACACGCCCGACTTAACGGGCACTTCCAGCAGCACCCGAAATAAATTCTTGAGCGGCCCGAGATCGCCGGAGCCGCGTCTCGCGCCTCTCGACACCCCGCGGAGCGTGGCAGGCAGGCAGGAGCGAAACGCCGGCCGCGGGGCACACTGCCGAGGGAGGGGGGCATAATGAAGGGGCCCTGGAACACACAAAGAAATACACACAAATAGAAGTATTCCCTCTCTTTTCCCATATCTTTGGGTTTATTCGTCTTCCCCCCCACTTCCCATATGTTCCTCTATCTATTTTCCTGGGGATCGACGATTAGTTGTGTCTGTGTGCTTTTTCCCCTCCTGAGCATAGTTGATCCTTCGCCGCCAGGAGCGCCGTTGCCCCCCGCCTGAGGAGAGGACGGAACGGGGGGGCCTCCCCTTACGTTTCGGTCGGGCCTGTCCCCCTACAGGGGGATTTGGGACGAAGAATAGAAATGTCAAACAAATATTCAAAGGATGCCCTAAAAACGGTCAAAAAATAGTCCCCAGACTATTTTTTTACTAATTTTGGATATTCCCCCTGTAGAGGGACAGGCCCGACTTAAACGTAGCACCCAGCAGTTGCGGATAAGATTGACGGGGCGGCGGGGACGTCGACAGTCTGAGAGGCTCTGGAGAAGCCCGCCGCAGGCACTTAACCTTTACAGATTATAACACGAGCTCGCCGCAGGCGCTGATTTTTTCGTTGAAGCAATGTGGGTGGGTCGTGGGGGGATCGCGGGTAGGTCGCGGGTGGGTCGCGGGTGGGTCGCGGGTAGATCGCGGGTAGGTCATGGGCCGGGTCGGGGGTGGGTCGGGGGCGGATCTCGGGTGGGTCGCGGGTGGGTCGCGGGTGGGTCGCGGGCCAGATCGCGGGCCGGGTCGCGGGGTGACGAAAACAAGAAACAACAACAACAACAACAACAACAACAACAACAACAACAACAACAACAACAACAACAACAACAACAACAACAACAACAACAACAACAACAACATCA